AGGGGGAGAGGCGGCGGATCTGGCCGGAGCGGGCGGCGGTGGGTGGGAAGAGAGAGGTTGGAGGGGAAGAAATGGGTGAAATGTCTACGGTTTCTTCCTTTTATTATATATATATATTTCAAAATAAAAATAAAAAATATAAGAATAAAAATAAAAAATATTTTTAAATTATTAAATAAAACCTGATTTTTGAAATGTTGAACTTGTTATTGGATTTTTGAAATTGAAAACCTATTTTCAGGTGTGGGTGTAATTTCGTCAAATTTAATCTTTTGAATCAATGATATTTGCTGCCAAGAGACTGCTGCATTCAGCCAAAATTCACTATATATCGTGATTCTCTTTCTGAATTGGTATTATGGTTAACAACGACTGGATTATATGTGAATGAAACAAAACCTATTTACAAACAAAATTATTTATTAAAGGATTATATTCAAGGCCCAATATCAGAAAAACTTTAGACTAGAATTGGTGGGGTGTGCCAGGCCCAAGCAATAGTGCAACGCCAGGGCAACACTCAAGAGCCCCAGTAGCAAGCTACCGTGATGGACTCTTCCCCTTAAAAAATTAATTTAATATCGTGTGAGCCAATGGCTCACGTATCAGATATTAAACTGATAAGAACAGATACTACACTTGATCTTAGCCAAAAGGCCGAGAAAGGTATGATTATTCCAAAGATGGGCCGGCTTTTTTATAGTACTCAAATTCCTCTCGCTTTTTCTCTAGACTCGATGTGGGACAACAAAGTGTGAAACTTAAAAATCATCAAACATTCTAATACATCCACAAAACGCCTTCGGATGAAGATTTCAACTGCTGGAAACTGTAAAGCAAAGCAGTACGGCGAAACCTCTTTTCGCTCCAGAATAAAATCCTCGTCTCCGACTGAAATCACAAACTACCTTGTACAAATTTTCTTAAAGATCGAGAGCTCGTTATCTCAAAAAAGTATCAATTCTTAGAGTTACAAAATTGAATTACTATTTAAGTCAGAATTCAAGAAGAAGATGGCGTATTATGGAATATCTTTGTCATACGAAACTTAGCCAAGATGATCAAGGCCAGCTAAAATTGACCTTGGAATTGAGTACCATTCTTCACCAAAATTTTATTTATTAAATTAACCACTTCTGTGAAATTAGTTCTCTGTGATCAGAACTCTCGCATATAGCTAAATTCGGAGTCGAAAAATAGCACATTTCCTGTACAAATATTGATTAGAATATACAGGAGATTTGGACATAGATGATAGATGAATATCAATGTCTCGAATACAAAGTATATTTCTACCAAATTCAACGTTTTCTTTAGGGAGATTATATCCAAAAACGTGCTACGCAGCCCAGAAGAGGAAGAAGATACGATCAGATCACATTTAAGCATTTAAGTGTATCCACAATACCAATGTATCCCTGAGCTTACTTTAAAGTTTACACTTATCTTGTATTCGACGTTGCTAGCTAATTTATTCAAGATTCTATTGATTTTTGTTGACCTCGAAAAATAGCTCCGACACGTGGCTAACAGAAGATATCTTCAAGTCAGCTCCTCCCTGCACACGTAGCATTTCGTCAGTCACTCGTGGCCTTTACCGGAGGGGTTGGGAGCCGACGGTCAAGTCAGTTTGAGTTCAACCAAAAGGGGTTCGCCGGCGGTAGAACACTCGCCAGGAAGTGGTTGAATGTGTAATAGTAAAAGTGTCAACAATATGGGGGAGAAGATAATACTCAAGTCTAGGTATAGTCGTGTCTCCAATTCCCTTCTTCTTCAGGCACAAGGAGGGAGTATTTATACCAAGGATGGGGAGAGGAGAGCCGTTGGATGAGGAGACACGTGTTGCTAGATCTCCAAAATTCGTCCCATCCTAGGTGTCAATCTGTCCATCCATAGGCTGGCTAACATTGAATGTTCTCTAACATAGCAGCTGAATTGACCGTTTGGGGCCCTGCCACACGTCCCATCAGCCAAAGATTTGACTTTGGAAAGATCTTTGACGACGAGACGAGGCAGGTGGGGCGTTGCAGCTTTGTGGAAGCGAAGTGCGGACCTTTGCATCCACTGCGTATTTGTGGATGAGTCCGGCTCATTCGCTAACGCNTAGACTTGATTTTTCTCATGTTTTAGAATCAATTCTGAGCTTGGACGGCTTTTAAGCAATGAAAGGATCGAAAAGGAACTTAAGACAGTTGAGGCATGAGGCTATGTCTGATATGAGAATAGAGCGTTCAAGTGGAAGAACAAGGGAACGAGGATGAATGCACATGATCTTTGTCGTAGGATTAGTGAAATCCATTCAATGGCCATTTACCGTCACGATCTCGCCCGATCAATGGCAAGAGGATCAATCATCTTGATTCAATTCCAATTTCGTAGTGAAAGAGATTATGGCGTGTTCACTATTGAAAGAAAGCTCCTTAATTTGATGATCTCAGTATTCCAGTACTGTGTTAAGAAGATTGAAAGTAGCAAGCCACTCTACTACTGTTGGTGCAGAGGCCAGATAGAAGGTTGCTCATCCAGTCAAGCGGATCCTTTATTTATGTGGCAGTGCAATGCAGCTGAAAAAGTCAAGCCCTATGTATTAATGCGCCTGATCTTTGTCGTGGGGAAGAAGAAATGAAAGAAAAAGGGAACGAGGATGAACAACCAAATGCTCTAACCTTTACAGGGCCTAAAAAGGATAACAAACATTAAGGATCCGTTTGATTGCAATGGTGAAAAATTGGTGAAAAGAAAATGAATTCCAGGGAAAGTAATTGCCTAGAACTTGTTTTCCAGGGAATTGTTAATTAAGTGTGTTTGGTTGATATTTTTTTCCACTTGGAAAATGTTAAAATTTTCCATCTTTTGATATTTGATTAATTTTATTTTCCATGGAAATTTATTTTTTTAGTGCATGTGATAGAAATTAAAAACTTGATACGAGAGATTAAATAATTACCAACACGGTGAAAGATTATTTAGCAGGATCAAATCAATGCTAACTTCTAGATTTACATGGCTACATGGAAGATTATTTATCCCAGTCTCAAAATTAACAAGAAGAAAAGGCAAAAGAAAAAAAAAATCATGCCCACTCTGCATCAGCCTCTCCGCCGCCGCCGCCTCCTCCCTACCAAATTTCACGACTAAAACTCCACTCTGCATCAGCCTCTTCGCCCCCGCCTCTTCCCTACCAAATTTCCAATTCTCACACTTTAATTTCAAGCCAAGAAATTCAACTTCTTGAAACCACCGTCTTCATTATTCAAAAGGGGGAAATGACGAAGGGACTGATGGTGAAACCAGTGGTGGTGGTGGTGATGAAGGGAGCAATACTGCAGTTAAAGGAACCATCTTGGCTGGTCTTTTGCTCGTGGGTGCGGTTGGAGGATTTGGTTCTTTGGGTCACATTTATAAGGATCAAATCAATGCTTTCTTGACCCAGTTTTCAGGGTTCATAAGGTAAATCCGGTGTGGATTAGTGCACCAAACAGGCACGGCAACGAGAATGAATTTGGAGCAGAAGTACCGGTGTAGTGGATGAATTTGGTTGCAATTCTCACTTGCCAAGAAAACAAAAAACCTGATGAAACATGGGAAAACCAATTCAAGGATTTTGTGGAAAAGAGGGTCACGTGCAAGAAAAGTGGAAAATGTTTTGCCTGTAAAATTTATCTTATCAAATAGCAAAAAAGTTGGAAAATGGTGGAAGTTTTCCATCTTCCATGGAATTTATTGCCTATCAAACAGGGCCTAATAAGAAACGAAAAAAATTACAAAAACAAAAGAAACATCTTTTAAAATCCACGCTCGACTGGGGCAGGGACTCCTTGTTGGTCTCCAAACCAGAAAATATTTAGACTAGTTTTGGAACCATTGTGAAACTAAAAACATTTTAGACTATTTTTGGTGGGTAATGCTACATGTACACACACACTTTTACACAATCTTTTACACCTCTCTCACATGGAGAGGGGTCCACGATTATTTTATTATGTGTGGGCCCCCCTCCATGTGAGGTGGGTGTAAAAAATTGTGTAAAAGATTGTGTACACTTAGCATTATTCATTTTTGGTGGGGTGCGCCAAGCCCAAGCTGTAGTGCAACACCAAGACAACGCCCAAGAGCCCAAGTAGCAAGCTACTGTGGTGGGCTCTTCCCCTTAAAAAATTAATTGAATATCATGTGACGTGGGACAAGAAACTGCAATACATTTTCAAACTTGAAAATCATCTAACATTCTTATTTCCCATTTCTTGTACACGCACAGAACGCTTGTGGACGGAGATTTCAACAATTGGAAATTATAATAGCATGCATTCATTTCTCTTGTCGTCGTCCAAGCACTAGTTGAAATTTCTCCTAGCTCCAGAAGGAAATCTCAGTTTTCGACTGCAATCCCAACAACTTCATAATCGACTGCATAAATTAGTTTCCATCACCATATCCAGCTCATTGCTATGCATCTACTAAAAGATCAAGAGCTCATTATCTCAAAAAAAAAATTCTCAACTCTGTGTTGCAAAATGTTGGGAGGAGTTCACACTGATTAGCAATGAATCAACAGAATATATGTGCAAAAGTAAAACTAAATGAACAAAAGTTAACAAAGTAAACTGAAAATAAACTTGTCTTTATTTCCTGAAGCACCCAAGCCAAGAATCCAGTACACCTTGCTTAGATTACTGAAGAACAGCCACTAATCTAGTGCAAATCACAACCAACGTGAGATTACAAGAAGTGGACACTCAGACTAGACCGATTATTACACAAAATAAGAGATCTCTCTTCGCAACACACGGTTCACACAAGAACCAACTCTCAAACAATGAAATCACACAAGATTTACATGCTATTTGAGAGAAAATCAGAAATCAAATGAGAATATTTGATTTCAGCAAAGAAAAAGAGAACATTGAAGCAAACGGCGCAGCAAAGAGAAAATCGAAGAATCTCGAAGCCAAATCATGTTGCACAAACCCTAGATGCCTCCTTTATATGAGTCACTCAACAATCACCAATCCAACGACGTTGGAGGCGACACATGGTGACATCATAGGCGTCCAAAAAACAAGTAAAAACACAACTTTAAGCCAACCAACAAACACGTTTTAAACCAACAGAAAATGAGCTGGGCCTTCAAATCCAGCTGGGCCAACATTTTCAGCCCAATGGTCTTTTAGCATCATTGTGCCACAAATTCCCCTCACAAAATTTATTAAATGTTAAAGTCAGTTCAAGGAGGCAAGGGCTTAACATGGAACATATGCTGTCATATACAATCTCCGGTAAAATTTAATACAAAGTTGGGTAAGAAAAACAACACATTTCCTGCAGAAATATTGGTTGAGTACATATAGGAGAATGGACAGACATGTATACTATAATTTATTAAAAATGATGGTAAGTTCAAATATTGTCGCCCATCTGAGAACCTCTCGTTCTTGAAGAACAAAGGAACATTCATGAATTTAGGGAAATTTGACGAAGGAAACATATCGTTCACTTGAACATGGAGCAGGTTTAAACTCGTATGGACCTAACTTTGCACCCCAAACCTGTAATAAGAGGAAAATGATAAGTACTCTTATGACGTGGCTAATGATGATTGCTTTAATACTAGAAGTCTAAGTGTTAGCTTAACTAGTGGAGATATCATCTATGGTGCTGCACACCAGAATGCAGGGGGGATTGGTTGGACTCTCTATGTGGAGGTACTTATTTTTCATCATTTTTTTTAATGGTCAATTGGAGATAAAATCCTGTAGTTCCTATAGTTGGAGATGAATGGATCGGTACATTGATTTTCTTTCTTTTTCTTCCGCTACATTTCGCTCAAAGAGTTCAAAGGAGATCATAACGTTGGCAAGGGCTAACTTGGCCCCTAGGAATGCCACCAACTTCACCTACCGTCTATCTAGGATCCATATTAGATGTGACCAACTACTCTTTGTTCCTCTTTTGTGTTTTAGAGAGTTCTATCTCTAACTAATAACTTATGCATTTAGGTGAATGATTCAACGTGGTATCATATCCGACAAAGATTTTATGAAATTTGTCCATATACGAGGTTTTTAATGAAAAAAAAAAATCTAACCTCCTGATGAAAACACTACAAAGCCATCGTTTTCAGGATCACAATTCCTTCTTCACATCAAAACATAATCAAACAGTTCTTTAATTCACTTTTTAACTTTTTTTAACAATTCATATATCCATACCATGAAAACTAATATTGAACAAGGTAAGACACTTCGCAAGATCCCCCTTCAGTGAAACAAAATGAAACATGCGAAAGAAAGAGAGAAAAAATTTGCCCAAATGTCGCGAACCAATCCCCGTATCCAGGCAGCTATAGGCCGTCAATGAGGGAGACATGGGCAAATGAATAAAACGTAATTCTTAACCGAAATCAATTATCAGACCAGGGATAGCCACTTGGCGCATCGCAAGAGTTACGAAATTATCCTAATGCTTGAAGGGAAATATATAAATACCCCCACTATTTGAAAAATGGCATGCAATTCAAATATCTTCTTCTCAAATAGTTATTTCTCCTCTTGTTCTAATTTAAGCATCTAGATTAGCAAACTTAGGAGGTGAAACTCATAGTTAGGTTTACATTGATATTTGATTGTAATTGTTTGTCAATAAAATCATTTGATCCAATTTCTATTGTCAACAAGTAACATATGACTTCATTTTACAATGAAAACATCATTGCAGATTTGGTCCTTTTTCAATGAATTCCTTCTCAGGCGAATTTTTCCAGGAGTCATGGGCCTCTTTTTTATCTTGGTTGCAGATTCAAGATCAAGACAGGACATTGCAGTGCACTGCGCGCTTCGGCTTATGTAAGATCTCTAATTCTATCTTCATGACATATTTGGTCTGTTCAACTCAACATGAATATATTGTTGAGAATGAACCGATTGATGCTGATTGAAAACACACAAAAGGTAAGCAATGCAGAGCATAATAATAATTTAGCATTATTTTTGAAATTTAAAAAACAAGATATTTGATTGAGTTTATTTTTCAAAATTTTCATTCTTTAAGGAGACTAAACAATAATATTTTGTTAACGAGTTAAGATATATATATATATATCTATATATATATGTTGAACTTAATTAAAATGCAAAATCCTCCAATTAACGATGGTGCCCATGTTTGGTACGAATTAAAATTTAGATTCTCATCTAATTCAGAGTCAACAATTAATTTTAGCCACATAATTCATGAGCCCTACAGTTTTTATAAAAAATTAATAAAAATCTGATTTTTAATCCCCCACCAAACTGTAGCATATAATTCCATAAGACCCACAGTCAATGGCAAATAAAATAAATTATAAATATATTGTCTCCATAATTAATTTCTAACGGAGCAAGCAGCCGTAAAAACAACGCCAACGTCCGTTTCGAAGCTCAGCCAACGAATCCCCGTTTTTGACCCGACAAGAAAAAGAAGCTCCAAATCAACAGCTCGGCTCATATCCTGGGATATTCTCCTCTCGGATATTCTCTTCCTCTTCCTTCAGCTTCTTCCCTACTCCATTAACCCCATTTTTTTCTATTTTCTATGCATCCAACCCGTTTTCTCTATAGATCCCTAAATTCAAATTCAATATAAAGATAACCCTCTGGCAATTAGAGGGGCATGTGAATGTTCCAGCAATGGCGTCCGCAGACACAGAA